AAATTAAAACAAATTGAATATTGTCTATGACATTATTTTTTAACCAGAGTATTATTCATTTTAGTACATGAAATGATAAGAATGGATCATTAAATATTAAAAAAAAAACATAATTTTGTGACAATCATATTAAAAGTCACTTGATCTAATATCAATATAGAAAATAACTAAATATTGGATCATTGTCTTACTTTCTCAATTACTTTGCTTACTTCTTTTGCCGTCTTATACTGATTCTAGGAAAGGAAAGATCAAACGTCAAACTCAAATAATTTTTTTATGAAACCAATCATCAAATTTTGGTGGGTTCAATCCAATAAAACATATAAAGCACCGAAAATGGTTAAAAACTTAAACTACATGAGTGTTGGATGCTTACCTATATTTATATTTAACATCTGATAGTTTCCTTTTCCGTGTTTTCACATGAACAAGTTGAGTATAAATTAAATAATGTAGACATAAATTTTAGTTTTATTCTCCAAGGCATATTAGTATTTTCATTTTCCTTTACGGTTGAAAAGTCACTTATCCAAACTGAGTTTGATGCATGAAAAATGTATAGATTTTACTTATATTTTATTTATTCCTTCAATGTATTATATATTGTTGAAAATAATATCATAATAGATAATATAATAATATATAAGTTAATATAATTCACTTTGAAACATTATCTATTAATAATGTTATTATATCAATATTAGATCATTCGTCGATAATGAGTGTGATAAAAAATATTATTGATATTATAGAATGTGATAAATAAATTCTTCTTTAACCAGTTAAGGTATGTTAAGAAATTTTACATTCACTACAGACATAATAACGTAATAATTTAATAATCTATATATAGGATAATATAATTATTACCTTACAAAACAAATTTTATTTTATAAAATTATATTTGATATTTCATAATTTATAAGATAAGTATTATATTGTAAAAGCAAAATAGAGTATAAAAAAATTATATTGTACCTCTTACTTTTTTAAAAATTTTCGTCAATTTCAAAATTATTTGCCTTCAAATTTAACGTATTTTCCTTTCAATATATATATAATCTATTGGTAGATACTTTGCAACTAAGAAAACAAAGCACCTTGAAACAAATTGGAGGAAACAAACACTGATTTCTAGAGAGTAAGATCCATGAGCACATGCAATAATATCCCAGGATATGGGGATTAGGTATACAAGTGGGGTAACTTTAATTAATTCATGGACAATTATTTGTGTTCCATTCATATGAAGACAAGAAGATTGGGATGTAAAATTGAAGGCGTGTGGATTATGAAAGTGTTTGGTAATGCATCATACACAATGTTTTTATCTCCATCCAAATTGTCTCTTTTCCACCACCCATATCATCTTCTACGGTTTTCTGCAAAACTCCATCTCCAACAAGCCATAACATCATTTCACCCATTAAGCTTTGTTCCCTTCGTGTCACCTAATCAACAAATTCTCAAAACAGGATCACCTTATTTCAGGTTCAAATGCTCTCTGGGAAACAAGAGTGGCACTGCATGTGTGCCATGATGTCACCATTTTGTATCTGCATGCTTGTTAAGATTGTACCATTTGGAATCCTAAGCTGTTCATAGGATCTTGTTATTAGTCCATTGGAGGTTTGGAGAGAGAAAGAAAATTTGCTTTCACTTGAGATTTTTCATCCTCTTTCTTATTTATGAGTTAATTTGCTTGGTTTGTTTTGATTGAATATTAGTTTTTACCTTTATCATGCTATTTTTTTTCTCATATACTCTTATTTTTCTTCTCTATTTTTTTTTTTGTTCACATATTCTTACACGTTAAAAAAAATATTATTTTGTTGCTTATTATTGTGTTATTAAATTTTTATTTTGTTATTTTGATACATCCCATTAAGTAAAAGTCTTAAGATTGAACAAATAAAAGAAATTGTAAATTACATGCTAAAACCCAAAGAAAGATAAAAATAGTGGAAATGGAAAAAGAAGAAAAAGAAAGACATAAGGGGTTAGGGTTAAAAGATGAGCACAAATATTAACTCTTTAGTACGAATTTGAATATTAAAAAGTTAATGTTTTAATGCATACAAGAGACAGTGAAACGAAAAAATTCTGTTAAGAAAATAAATTTAAATATGTGAAAAAAATAAGAGTTTAATACCACTCCACTGCAAAGAAAAATATAAAAATATTTACATAAAAATAAAAACGGATTTTGTAAGATTTTATACATTTTTTATTACTATTAAATATTTACACGTTTCAGTTAATTATTTAATTCAACTTTGAGGTAACGAATTTATTTTGAACAATTAAAAAAATATAACCAAAAATGAAAAAGAAATTAACGTTTTCTAAATGCTTTGAGGGTGAAACGTAGTTAATAATGTTATACTTCTCTATAGAGAAATATCGACAACATTTTTTTTATAGTTGGCAATGTTAATTGTTTGAAGGATGTTAATAATGATCACATAGCAACTGATTGAGTTGACTAATTGCACCACCATTAATACTGATCAAATTTTGGAAAGCCCGAAATAGAGAATGGGCCAACTTCATAGCCCAGCATGTTTTGTAGATTTTCCAATCAAACCCTGAATTCTTAACCCAACTAAATGAAAACGGGCACCATATGCAGCCCAATTACCGTGTTGTTGGGGAAATTGCTTTCGGGATGGAAAGAAAACCTTCTTATTATATCTCTTTTATGATTTTTATGTAAAAACAAGAAAAAATTGTTCCTGATAAAATAATCGTATGAGTCGTGTCCTCGTTGATGCATAGTTTTGGAAACGTTCTTTCGGTGATATGAAAACGTACCTAAAACATAATTTCAAAAGCTATTTATGTAAAATTCTACAAACATAATTCTGGTGTGTTCAGTATTGTTTCCAGATCAATATAAAGAGAGCTATTGACTGCAGAATATAAATAAACTTCTGAAAGTTCAAATTTGAAAGAGTTAAAAATGGATAATATAAAATTAATTCGTTAGATATATACTCAGAACATCTAAAAATTGACCACAAGAGTTACTTTTTTTTTTCAAAAATATATGTTTGCAAACAAATCTAAATTTTAATTTTAATATGAAAAAAAAATCTCCAATAGTGAATACACCATGTATAAATAAAATTTATTAAGTGAAAGAAAAACTATATATTTTTTAAGTTTGTCTTAACAAACAAATTGTAGTCGTACTCATATACTCATTAAGATGGTCTGATAGATGGATGTAAACAAGAGATTGAACTAAATTAAAATAATTGTGTTATGTTATTTGTAGTGTTTTTTTATGTAAATTAAATTTTATAAAAATAAAAGATTTATTATTTCTAAGATTTACATATTTATTTTTCTCATCATTACTGTTTTTTTAATAATCTAACAATCTAAATCAACAATAAATATGATAAAAACAAAGAATAAAAATCTCTAACTTTTACTCTTTAAATAAATGAAATATTTCCCATCAGCATAATTTTAGGATTGTATTAGATTTATTAATAAAATATATACTCATGTATATGTGAATTTCTTAGTTGATATTAATTTTTAGCTCTATTTTAAAAAGTGCGGTATAAGATTTTGTATGTTAGAGCAATCACTTAGAATGAAAATAAATCTTTCAATCTTCATCGTACATCCATCCTTGAGAATGTGATTAAGACGACACATATTTTTAATCACATTTCATAATTTTTAAGTTAGTATCTCCATTTTTTAAGTCACAAGCAAATATTATGTTGGCACGTGGAAACTTGATAGTATTTTTCGTTAAAAATGTTGTTCTAATGAAATTTTTATTAAATCAATAAATAAATCTTGATGTTAAAATCATTAATTACACTTTGAACCTATTTTTCAAAATCAAATAATAGGAATAAAAAAATATGAGCACATGTAGGTTGATTAAAACCTTTTAGATGTGTATAAAACTGAAAAATGCAGATTGCAAATTGAGGACATTGCGAAAGGTGGAACTGGGTGCACTCTTTTCTCATGCAACTCAATTACTCAAATTCTTATACTAAATCATCAAAATTCAGAATTCAACCAAAAAGCACTCGCCAAAACCAATTTCGGTGCAATTGTATTCTATCAAAATTCAGAAACCAAAACTTCTGCCAGGCTCTTTATATATTTTTTAAAGAAATCGCAGGAAGTTCTTAAAGAACAAATTTCAACAATTAGGTAAATCACACCACATCATTCTATTCTATAATCTCTCTTTTTCAATAATTTCTAACATCCTTCATGATATCTTGCATAGATATTACAAGTAAAAACAAAAACACAGTTTGTTCCTTGACTCCATTTTTAAAAAATAATAATAAAACTTTTTAGTATCACAAAAATCAAATACAAAATTACTAAGAATTCACACAGCATCCAACAAACCAAATCAAGAACAACAGCAACAATAATAGTTTACAAAACATCAAAAAGGGCACGGACAAGAGCAAAACAGAAAAGAAAGGGAAAAAGCCAGAAGATACAACCACGTTTACAGCATTCCCACGTGCCACCGCCTCCATCGCATTCTAAACCTGCAACTCTCCTGCAAAACATTTAACCACAAAATTCTAAAATATTCATATGATAAGAATAAAAATACAGACGCACGACTCGATTAGAGAAAAATACAGAGAGTCCAAGAAACTATCAGATCAGACGGTCACAGAATTAACAAAATATTATCCGCAGCAGAAATCCAAGTCGAATATATTTCACAACATATCATGGATAAACCACTCGAATATTCAAAATCGAAAGGCACGCCAACTGTTGAAATCGCAAATTGCCTCAACAAAACAATCTGCATCCGGCATAAATTTCAAGGGGAGTGAAGGGGGAAATAAAAATTCAGATAATTAACCTAAAAGCAAAACCAGATTCAAAAGATAGAGATGTAGATTAAAATTTCCAGAAAATATCGCATATCCTTAGAAAGGAAGGATTCAAAATATACATCCAAAACACCCTAATTTTCAGATAACATATCAAGAACTAGTGAATTTAGTGACGGCCTTAGTGCCTTCAGAGACGGCGTGCTTGGCGAGTTCACCAGGGAGAACGAGACGGACAGCAGTCTGGATCTCGCGGGAGGTGATGGTGGGCTTCTTATTGTAGCGGGCAAGCCTAGAAGATTCCTGAGCCAGTTTCTCAAATATATCGTTGATGAAACTGTTCATGATCCCCATGGCTTTGCTGGAGATCCCAATGTCAGGATGGACTTGCTTGAGGACCTTGAATATGTAAATCTTGTAGGTCTCGACGCTCTTCGCCTTCCTCTTCTTCTTCTTGTCCCCAGAAGTAGCATCTTTCGGGATCTTCTTCTCAGCCTTTGTTTTCTCTGCCGGAGCCTTCTCAGCGGGCTTCTTCTCCGCCGGCTTCTTCTCGCCCTTGGCCATGGATTGGTTAAAGAAGGATTGAGAAAATGAGAATTTGAAAGGGATAGATTTGAGAGTACAGAAGTTCAGAGTGATGTGACCTTAGAGAAGCGGTGAGATGCTGTTTATATAGGAATGGCAGGTGGAAGCTGATTGGTTGGGTTTAAAGTGCACAGATCGATGACATGGGAGGGTGGGTTTATGTTTTGGAGGGAGATTTTTGAGATTCAGTGTTTCCAATTTTTATTAATTTGGAGTATTTTTGGCTTATATAGTGTTTTGGCGCGACATTTTTTACGATTTTAGGGTACGTGGAAGGGCGTTTGCATGTCTTAGAAGATAATTTCAATTTAATCAAATCAAATTATTGGACTAGAAAAATTGCATCTGGTTTTCGAAATTTTATTTTATTCAGATCTAGATACTAGTAAAAATATAGTTTGACAACGAGACTTAGAAAAAAATAATATATATATATAATATATAAATAATTTACTCTAAATATATTTATAATTTATTTTATCACTTTTTATATTATATGATATTATTTTAAAAAATTATATTTAGATCTTTTATTACTTAACATAATTTGATGTGATATTTATCCATTTTTATATCCACAGTGTACATAGTTTTTATCATATCACATAATGATATTTTGTTATATAATGGATATCAAATATAAATCTTCACCTTAAGTTTCATACATTGTTTTTATTGTAAAAAAAAAAACTATTTATTTTTTCCTTTTTGTGTTTCATCCATTTTTTATTAATTTTACAAAAATAAAGATAATGTAAATGATGGACGATGTTTTATGAACAACTTTTATTTAAAATATACATCCCTCTATAAAATATAATGCATCTCAAATCATGAGTGTATTTTTCTTTAAATGTACATAAAAAATTGTTTTTTTTATATGAAAACATGAAAGATTCAGAAATGCATAAATTTTTCACATATTTTAATATACAAAATTTTAAAATCATAACAAATAATTATTTATAATAAAATTTAAAAATTAGATATATTCCATTATATAAACAAATATTATATAATATTTATTCATATAATTAATTATGTTAAAAAATATTTAGTTACCCTTATACAATGTGGAGGAATAGGTAATATAGGAATAGCGTGATGACTCCAAAAAATTATTTTTCCTTTAATTTTATATAAAAATAACTTATTTGGAACTTTTCTAGGTGGAAGGAGGGATTGTGCCATTCACACTTTCTTACATATTAATGCTTTGTTTTGTTTGAGTGATTTGAAAGAGTGAAAATGGGAACGTGAAAAAGGAGGAATTTGAAGAAAAATAGAGGTGAAATTAAAGTTGTTTAGATGAATGGAAAGTAAAAGAAAAGTTTATGAAAAATTGTGAATGATTTGATTGATATGAGATATAAAAATTATAATTTTAATTGATTATTTAAGAAAATTACCATTTTACCCTTGTGTATAAAATAAGGTTCAAATTATTATAAATATAATTTTTTAATTAATTATCCATATTTTAATATTGATTATATATTTAAAAGAAAAAACAAATTTAAAATATAATTTATATTAATTACTATAATATAAAATATATATTCGACAATATAACTTATTTTCATTTATATATATATATATATATATATATATATATATATATATAGAAATTAAAATAAATTATATTTTAGAATATATAATTTTTCAAATGATCGATTACTTTTCCAAATGATCGATCACTTTTTCAAATAATCAAGACTTTAGATAGCGGTTAACGTGGAACCGCTATCATATGTTCACATTTAAGAGCGGTTAAGATGTTAACCGCTCTTAAAAGTGAACATATAATAGCAGTTTAACGTTAACCGCTATCTAAAGTCTCGATTATTTGAATATATTTTGATGTAAAATTATATATATATATATATATATATATATTCTAAAATATAATTTATATTAATTACTATAATATAAAATATATATTCCACAATATAACTTATTTTTATTTATATATATAATATAGAAATAAAAATAAATTATATTTTAGAATATATAATTTTTCAAATGATAGATTACTTTTTAAAATGATTGATCACTTTTTCAAATAATCGAGACTTTAGATAGCGGTTAACGTGGAATCGCTATTATATGTTCACATTTAAGAGCGGTTAAAATGTTAATCGCTCTTAAAAGTGAACATATGATAGCGGTTCCACATTAACCGCTATCTAAAGTCTCGATTATTTGAATATATTTTGATGTAAATTATATATATATATATATATATATATATATATTCTAAAATATAATTTATATTAATTACTATAATATAAAACATATATTCCACAATATAACTTATTTTCATTTATATATATATTATAGAAATTAAAATAAATTATATTTTAGAATATATAATTTTTCAAATGATCGATTATTTTTCCAAATGATCGATCACTTTTTCAAATAATTGAGACTTTAGATAGCGGTTAACGTGAACCGCTATCATATGTGAACATTTAAGAACGGTTAAAATGTTAACCGCTCTTAAAAGTAACATATGATAACTGTTCCACGTTAACCGTTATCTAAAGTCTCGATTATTTGAAAATATTTTGAAGTAAAATTATATATGTATATATATATATATATATATATATATATATATATATATATTAAAATAAGTTATATTTTGGAATATATATTTTATATTATAATAATTAATATAAATTATATTTTCTTAACTTTTGCGAGATTCTTAAGAATCTCTGTATGCATGCACTAGTGAATCTTGCAGAGTGATGATAAGTTAGACATTTCAATTTGTCCAAGGGGGCTTTTATCTCTTTTCTTCGTGCATCAGCGAAGAACTTTTTTATCCCATCTCCCGTTTTTTCCTCGCTTTCATTTCGTTGTATTTTTGTTGAACCAAACGTATGTCCTGGTGTTTCTATCTTCGTCAACAGTATATCACTGGAGTAAATCTAAATAAAAATCTTTCTGAAATCGATTCATTTCCTTTCACTATTGAATAAAATCAAGTGATTATTGAAATTATATTTATTTCTTTGTCGGTGACAATTAGTTGAAAAATAAACATAAAAATGAGGGATTGAGACCCTCAATGCACTGCAACAAGCCATTTTCTGATAAGTGTTAAGAGATGTTAACCACAAATGTTGAGGTTAAACATCCCAATCAGCACCAAAAATAGCACATGGTATCAGTGAACAAAACCACAGATACATAGGTCCTAAAGTTGATTTTACTCAATTGAATATACCTCTGATTCAATGGAGGATGAACGAAAGCTTAACAAAACGAAGGCTCTTTCACTCAAATTCAAGAAATACCCTCTATTAAGGCTTGCTTTCATATGTATGAGTGGCAAAACCTCACCAGCATAAAAAAGTAGTCTACTTTGAATGTCTCAAGTATTTCATGCCCCTTTAAAAGACATATTCCAAACAGCTAGCATAAAAACTATAAACAATTACAACCATATCAGCTACAATAGAAAACATGCTAAAGCTTTGCAACCTAAAAAAACAGAGAAAATATAGATGTTTTATATAAATTTCTTTACAAACTCTTATAGTGAAATAAAAGAAACAAAAAAAAAATATTATTACTGAAATTAGATTATTCACAATATAAAAAATATATATATAAAAAACAAACTTCATAAATTACCTCATTTCAATTTTTTTGCCCTGGAAAATTTTATGAACTTCATACACCACTCCCTTAAGAGAGGAGATCAGAGTAATCCCAAAACATCAACGTTTCACTATGAGCAAATAAACAGGATCGAACAAGACAGTTGGAATGTAAATGGCGACAAGATTAAACCAGAAAAACACCCTAATGCTTACTGAACAAATTTAAAGCACAACAACCATTTGAATAAACTTTTCTGGTTAGCACCATCACTATCATTCATTGGGCAGAACTTTAATTAGCACCATCACTATCATTCAAATTACGCACATTACAAATTAAATCAATTCAACAAGAGAAGCGAACATTCAGAGTTAAGAAAACTATAAAGTATAAGAATTTGTGGTTAAAAGCGATTGGTGAGAGACAAGAGAAATCAGAATGAAATACAGGTACAAATGAAATTATTTTTTCTCGAAAAGCGTCATGTCCTAGGAACAACAATTTAAAATATATCAAAAAACCCTAATTATCTGCGATGCACTCAAGAACTGGTGAATTTGGTGACGGCCTTGGTGCCTTCGGATACCGCATGCTTGGCAAGCTCACCAGGGAGAACGAGACGAACAGCAGTCTGGATCTCGCGGGAGGTGATGGTGGGCTTCTTGTTGTAGCGGGCGAGTCTAGAAGATTCCTGGGCGAGCTTCTCAAAAATGTCGTTGATGAAACTGTTCATGATCCCCATTGCCTTGCTGGAGATTCCAATGTCAGGGTGAACCTGCTTGAGGACCTTGAAGATATAGATCTTGTAAGTCTCGACACTCTTCGCCTTCCTCTTCTTCTTTTTGTCGCCAGATGTAGCATCCTTAGGGATCTTCTTCTCCGCCTTGGTTTTCTCAGCTGGAGCTTTCTCAGCGGGCTTCTTCTCTGCAGGCTTCTTTTCACCCTTAGCCATGGATAGATTGACGAAGGTCTAAGGAAACTTGAATTTGAACACTGAAATGAATTCACAGTGCAAATGTTTTAGAGTAAAGTGATGCCAAAGGAGTGGCAACTGGTGCTTTATATAAGAATGTCTGATGGAAGTTGATTGGATGGGTTTACCTTGCGCGGATCGATGACGTGGCAGATGACTTTTTCATTTTAGTATTTTCCATATATTGTTTGGCGGGTTCTTTTTGCTTATGTGGCGGGCTTTGCGTAGTTGAGAAGAGATTTCCAATTTCGGCCAAAATTTTTGAAATTTTAGTTTATCTAGATATAAGTGAAAAAATATTTAAATTTTTATTTAAGATTTTTATTTTATTTTGACATTATAAAATTATATAAAAAAGGTAAAAAATAAATAAATATATATATATATATATAAAATAAAAGAGAAATATTGAATTTCTTCATGATAAATATGTGACTTTTAAAAAATAATGTATTTAAATAAGTCGAATTATAAAATGGTTATATTTTATCATTATCTCTTTTAATTTAAAAAAAATAAATGATATTTCACTTTTATAACAACTCGTAAATTCTACTTAAAATTTTTATTAAAGAAAAGAAAGTAATAATTTTGTTATCTATGAGAGGTATAATAGTTCAATTTAGAGTCATCCAGAATAGTTGAAAAATATCACACATCAAAAGTTATAATTACACTAATATTTTACGCATAATTATACTAAGTCATAGATATATTGTTTCACTTCCACTCAGGTAATTCTAGTGGTTGTAGCATTCCACCCGGTCTCTGATGCTCTACCTTGGGCTTTTGACATGTTAAGCAACTAGTAATATACTTGGCTATATCCTGCTTCATCTCAAGCCACCAAAAGGTCTCCTTCAAATTTTGGTATATCTTAGTCTCTCTAGGGTATATATTCAACTTGTTTTTGTGCCCTTCCTCCATAATTGTTCCTCTCAACTCATTTCTTGCAGAAATACAAACTTTGTCCTTGAACCTAAGCACACCATCTGTTCCCAAGACAAACTACTTTGCTTTTTTTGTACCCAAAGAGTTTCTAATCTGCACAAGGCTAGGATCCTTCATATGACCTTCTTTAATGATCTTCAAGAAGTCACGGGTGATAGTCATCACCACACAATTAACTGGTGAAATTTCAAAGCTTAGATTTAGATCTCTGAAGTTCTCTATCAATTCCAATTCCTTAATCATCAGTGCAAATATTTCAATCGTCTTTCTCCTAAGAGCATATGTCACTACATTGGCCTTTCTTGGATGATACATTAACTGGAAGTCATAGTTTTTTATGAATTCCATCTATCTTCTCTTCCTCATGTTGAGCTCCTTCTGAACAAAACAGATATTTCAAGTTCTTATGGTCACTGAATACCTCAAATCTAGCTCCATACAGGTAGTGCCTCCAGATTTTTAGAGCAAACACCACAACTGCTAGCTCCAAGTCATGTGTGGGATAATTCTTCTCATGATTCTTCAGTTGTCTGGAAGCATAAGTCACTACCTTTTTATCCTGCATCAGAACACACCCTGACCCCTGATTGGATGCATCACAGAATACCTCAAATAGTTTGCTTGAATCAGGAATAGTTAGTATGGGCGAACTGGTCAACCTTTGTTTGAGTCTTCTCACACTGATTTGTCCAAACAAAGGGGTGGTCCTTTCTTGTTAACTGGGTTAGAGGAGCTACCACTCTGGAAAAATCTTCAATGAACCTCTTGCAATAGCTGACCAATCCCACAAAACTTCTAACCTCGGACACTGACTTGGGCGCATTCCCATTCCAGAACTGTCTCTACCTTGGCAGGATCAATTGTTATCCCCTAAGCAGACACCACATGTCCCAAGAATTTGATGTCTTCCATCCAAAACTCACATTTGAACAACTTAGCATACAATTGTCTCTTCCTCAAGATCTCCAACACTAATCTCAAATGACGTTCATGCTCTTCATGTGAGCGTGAATAAATAAGTATGTCATCAATAAAAACGACGAATAACTTGTTCAAAAAGGGATGGAAAATCTTACTCACGTAGTTCATGAAGATGGTTGGCACATTTGTCACTCCAAACGGCATGACCATGAACTCAAAGTGGCCATATCTGGACCTGAAAGCAGTTTTCAGAATATATCCCTCTTTTCACCAGAATCTGGTGATACCCTGACCCAGGTTGATCTTAGAGAATACTACTGCCCCATGCAACTGATCCAATAGGTCATCTATCCGAGGGAGAGAATATTTATTCTTGACTGTAAGCTTATTCAACTGCCTATAGCCAATGCATAATTTATAACCCTCATCTTTCTTTTTAACAAGCAGCACTAGTGCTCCCCAAGGGGACACATTGGGTCTGATCAATTTCTTATCCAACAGCCCCTCAATCTGCATCTTTAACTCAACCAATTCAGTTGGAGTCATCCTGTAAGGTGCCATAGACACTGGTCCTGCTCCAGGTATAAGGTCTATGGAGAACTCAACCTCCCTCCTAGGAGGCAACATCGACACTTTATCTAGGAATACATTAGCGTATTCATTTACTACTGGGACTTCTGATTCAACATCTTCGCTTGACTGTCCTATATGAGTTAGGATAGCATAACACTGGGCTCCCTCTTGGATCTCCTTCAAAGCTTGGGAGATGGACAACATCTCAAACTCCTCCGACACAGGAAACAATAGTTTTTTCTGCCCACAGTCAATTAAAACCTTGTTTTGGACTAGCCAGTTCATACCTAGGATCACATCTAGGTCTTTGAGGGACAAGCAGATCAAATTCACTATGAATCTGCGACCTTCTACCACTAAGGGGCATCCACAACAAGCTTTGGATGCAACCACCAGATCAACCGCTGGTGTAGACATGAACAACTCACAAGTAAGGTCCCTAACAAGCAAACCCAGCCTCTCAACACAATCAAGTGACACAAAGGAGTGTGTCGCTCCTTAATCATATAAAACTTTTAATATGCGACAAAAGAGGAAACACAAACCTTGGACTATGTCACTGGACTTCTTAGCTTCTGCTCCCTTGATGGTAAAGACCTTATCGGCTGCTCTCGGTCTGATCACCCTTCTCTAACCTCCAGTCTGCTGACTCTCAGATGGAGCTACTGACAAATTCTCTCTATAATTTCTAGCAAAATGCCCCGACTTCTGGCACCTGTAGCATCTAGTAGGACCTCAAATCTGCTGATACTGGAAGGAAGGTGAGCTCCTCTCTCTAAATTGGCTGCTTCCACCTGACTGGTGAGAAGTAGGAGCAGATTCCCTCCTGGGAAAAGAACAGGCATATGGGGTCCTCCTCTCTGGCCTCCTATTGTCGGGATGGGATCTAGCTCTACTAGAAGACCTCACTTTGCTACCTGAGGGCCCAGATATTGGTGGTACAACTGGCTTGGCTCTATCGGCCACTAGTCTCTCTGCAATCTTAGCCCTCTTAACCAGAACATGAAAGTCGGCCACAAACATCGACACCACAAACTCCTTCAGTTCCTATCTCAGACCCTCCTCAAATTTGCTGCATAGTCATGCCTCAGTGTTCGATTGAGAATAATACCTAGTCAGGTGCTCAAATCTGGTAGCATACTCATGCACTGATAGATCTCCCTGTTCTAGCTTTAGAAATTCCGTTTCCTTAGCAAATCGTGCACTGCGTGGGAAATACTTTCACATGAACTTTTCTCTGAAGCTTTCCCAACTAATAGCTTCGTCTCTGGCAATCATCATTCTCTTGGTCCCTTTCCACCAAAATTCAGTCTCCCCTGCTAACAAATATATAGCAAAAGTAACCTTCTTATCCTCAAGACACTCCATAACATCAAAGATCTTCTCTATCCCTTCCATTCACATATCTGCCTGATCTGGGTAGAATCTCGTGAAAACCTAGGTGGCCCGTGCTTCAAGAAGCCAACCAACACTACTTGCCCTTGTGGTTGACTGGAGGAGGAAGTTGGAGTGGGGTTAGAAATTGTCGCTGCTACTGCAGTTGTTGCCGTTGCAAGGGTCTCCTTTGATGCTTGCAATTCTTGCATAGCATCCTGGTGTTGCTATGTCATTATTACTCCTTGTTGTTGCATGGTAGTGGTCATTACTTCAAGGGCTCTTAGTATTTAACTCACCTCTGACTGGGGTTGAGGCTAAGGTTGAGGAGGTGGTCTAGGAGTCATCCTAGACATAAGAAGAAAGCAATAATTATCATTTTATATTATACTACAACTATTTTAAGTCTACACGCAGTCAACATAGTAGGTCCATAACCCTAAGGTTTCCTAGAAACTACCGCTCTGATACCAATTTGTAATAACCCGCAAATTCTACTTCAATTTTTCACTAAAGGAAGGAAGGTAATAACCGTTTCACCTCTGAGAGGTATAATAGTTCAGTTTACAGTCATCCAGAATAATTAAAAAACATCACACATCAAAAGTCATAATTACACTAATACTTTACGCATAATTACATAACCCAAAATAATTCCTTCAAATTTAAGAGATATTTACTCCATTTCTCAAATTACTATATTTTACTATTACCTACAGAAGATTTGGAATCTGCTCATGTGTATAACACGATCATAGCAGGATCCCAAAAGATCAAACACACAACAAAAGCAAGGATAAATTACCATTTGATAAACATGTAAAACAGTGTAACATTGCAAACGACATGTATTCATTCACAAACATCCTAAAGTTAGACTCATCGGAGAGTCTAGCATTTTACAATCACAATACACAACAAGACTGGCGCTTTCCGAAAAACTATATGGAATTCAAACCCGTAAGGCAGACACCTGATGAGGAATATTTGGGGTCACACACCCTTAAAATTTCATGGCCCCAGGCTTATAATATCATTTTTCAACCTCTCATCAGAGCAACACACACATAGAATTAACACTATGTTGTGTCTCCATCGACTTCCCACCACAAATATCTTCGTCTATATGATTAGGAACATCGTTGAAGTCTGGATGCTCT